CACAAGTTACTGCACAAAGCGCCATCCTTGCTCTTGAACACTTTAATGAGATCTTTTGCAGTAGATTTGCCCAAAACAGTATGCTATTTGATTTTCTCATTGCTGCTCTCATGAGTACTATTTGGGAATCCAAGTAAAATTAAATCTTTGAAAATTTCAGCATCTCTTCATCATGGTGTTGCTCATTCATCCTCTTGGGAGGATTTTTGTTTTATGTTGAGCCATAATCCATCATGATCTTGGTCTTCATTGGTAAGATGTTCAAACTCACTTCACTTCCAGCAAGCAAGCTTGCGTCACCTGCATTATCACAGGTTGCTAGATGAGTCTTCCTCCAAGCTTGATACTACATTTCTCTTATACAACATAGCATCTCAGATCATTTCCTCACTCTGCAGATTCCTGATTTTAAACCTGCACTATGCCTGTCTTCTTTTCTAAGAGTTGCCTCTTGGTCTACCTACAAATGCCACATGAGCAAAATTAAGTGTTTTGGCCTTTTCATGTTTGCAGTGTTGTCCATAACTTGTTATTGTTATATATAGTTACTTAATGTTATATGTAGCATTACTTAGTGTTATATATAGTTACTTAATGTTATATATGTATATATATATATACACACACACAAAGTTACTTAGTGTTATTTATAGTTACTTGATGTTGCTTTTCTAGCCGTGGTTTTCCACTTTGTGATGTACTGTAAATCCTGGTCTCTACGTTTTTGGTTATAGTTTGTGTTGAAACAAGAACGACCTTCTGATTTTAAGCTGTTCCCTTAATAGACACACAGGCAGCTACTTGCTTAATTGAGAAAAACAGGAGGCTGGGATCATGGAACTGGCTGAGACCAGACGTGGCCAACCTAAGAGGCCCAGAAGTAAGTCATCAGTCTGTCCTCCACCTAACCTTTTGAAGTTAAAAGGCAAAAACAGACTACCATCCGGGTGCTGGATGTGTTCAAGACACTATCTTTGTGGCCTCCCCTTGCTTACTTGTGATGAACACCATTCAGACCCCAGTGGCTTTCCTAAAAAAATGCTAATCCAGGACTGAGTAGCCAATTTGCCACAAATCCCACTGTGCTTCAGTTGCCTGTACTGATTTAGCAGTTTCCGTGGCCTTGTGAGTCAACAGCTCCAGTTTGGTGTGAGTGAGGAGGATCCTCCAGACAGAATTCTGAAATCCGGATTTGGGACTTGCCAACCTGCACAACCATGTGAGCCATTTCCTTAATGGTTCCTGAATTATGAAGGCCTGGGTCGTGAGCAAGAAGCCCTGATTACCCAGAGGGTATGCATTGGGCTGTTGACCATAAGGCCAGCAGTTCGAAAACACCAACTACTCCATGGAAGAAATGTGAGACTTTCTACTCCCATAAAGAGTTAGTTTCAGAAACCCACAGGAGTAGTACTATCTTGTCTTACAGGTTTGTGACGAGTCAGAATCGATTCGGTGGCAGAGAGCTTGGTTTGGGGTTTGGTTTGGGTCAGGAGGGAATGTACCAAAAGGAGGAACAGTGGTTGATAATCAGGGCTCATGGAATGGTATAGCATTTTGGAAAAGTTGAACATTTGAGACATCTTTAATCTCTAGCTCATTGGGACCAGTCTCATCATGAATGCTTCATAAGGAAATGATTTTTGCAGTGAAGATCCACAGTTAAATGTCTTTGCATAGTCAATAAAACACAGGTAAACATTTCTCTGGCATTCTGTGTTTTCAGGCAAGATCCACCTGACCTCAGTGACAGCAATGATATCCTCAGGCCATGTCCTTTTCTGACCGCACTTTGAATTTCTGGCAGTACCCTGTCAATATATCACTGCAACTGTCTTTGACTTAGCTTCAGCAAAATTTTACCTGTGTAAAGTATTATTGATGTTATTTGAAAACCTTTACATTCTGTTTGATCACCTTTCTTTACACTGGGCACATGTATGGATCTCTTTACATTGGTTTGCCTAGGTAGCTGTCTTCCAAGTTTCTTGGCACAGATGAACCATCGCTTCCAGTGTTGCGTCTGTTAGTTTCCGTTGGTTTATGTCAAATCCTGGTCTTGTTTTTCTCTAATGCCCTTTGAGCTGTTTGAACTTCTTCCTTAAATACTGTCTGTTCTTCATCATATGCTACCTCCTAAATTCGTTGAACATCAGCCAATTGTTTTTGGTATGGTGACTCTTTATATTCCTTCTGACTTAATGCTTTCTGCTTCATTCAATATTCTACCAATAGAATCTTTCAATATTGGTTCTTTTATCTTCAGAAGTGTTATATTTTCTTTCTCTTTGTTTCCTAACTTCAGGCCTTTCCTTTTAATTATGTATTTGTCTTCTAAAGCTTCCCAGAGAGATCTTTTGCTTACTTCTTTTACTTTCTTCTTTTCCCTTTAGCCTTTCTAGGTTCAAGAGCAAGTCTCAGAATCTCGTCTGACATCAATTTTGATATTTTATTTCTTGCCTGCCTTTTGCTTTTTTCAGGTATGATGCTCATGTCATGGGGCATCTTGTATGAATACAGTCATTAGTGATTAACACATCAAATATCTTCTTATGATATTCAAGGTTATATTTTAGCTCATGGACTTGTTTGAACTTTCCTCTGCTTTAGCTTGAATTTGCATGTGGACAATTAATAGTCTAGTTCACCGTTGTCTTCTGACCTTGTTCTGACTGATGATATTGAGCTGATCTATCATCTCTTTTCACAAATGTAGTTAGTGTTATTCCCCTGTGCTCCATCTGGTGAGAGCTATGTATATAGTTCCCATTTATGTTGTTGAATAAAGATATTTTCAATGAGTGGGTTGTTGGTCTTGCAAAATTCTCTCATGTGATCTCCATTGTCATTTCGGTTACCAAGGCCATATTTTCCAACTACTAACCCTTCATTCCCGTCATTGCTTCTTTGTCACCAGTAATTATGAATGCATCTAGAATGAAAATTTGATCATTTTCAGACTGTACAGGTTAGTAAAAATGTTCAATTTGTTCACCTTTGGCATTTGTGATTGGTGTGTAAATTTGATTAATAATCATGTTACCTGGTCTTCCTTATAGCCATATGAATATTATCCTATCAATTACAGGATTGTATTTCAGTTAGATTGAAATGTTTCTTGGGGGTGATAAGTCAACACCATTGCTCTTCAATTTATTATTCTCAGTGTCGTAGGCCATATGATTGGCCAGTTCAAATAGCCAAGACCAGTCAGGTTTAGTTCACTCTTCTTAAGATAATGATCTGTAAGTATTCTATTTCATTTTTGACAATTTCTGTTCTTCCTAGATTCTTACCTAATACCTTCCATGTTCTGTAACTAATGGATATTTTCATGTGTTTCTTCTCGTTTTGAGTTGTGCCACAGTGGCAAGTGAAGGGCCTGCCAGGGTTACTGTTTCTGTGTCATCATGGTGTATTCTGCTTTGAGGAAGGGACACTTTTCTGATCGCATTCGTGGATGCCTTCCAAACTGACAAATGAGTAGTGGAGAATCAGACCACCTCGGTTCAAATCATGATTTTCAATGTGTAGTTTCGATAAGTTGAGGCAAGTTACTTCACCTCACAATATGTCATTGTTTTTATTGGTGAAATTGGAATCTACCGCAATCTTTGCCTACTGTAAAATTATTGGAAAAGTGAATAGGGCATTGCCAGTGCTGTGTTAATGTCTTGTCCCATCACCATTCTGGTATAAGCTCCAATCAGCAGTTTGGAGACTACTGCAGCCTACTTTTTTTTTTTTTTCATTTTCTTTCCTTCCCATTCTTATGTTCTTGGATTCTTCCCCAGTTCCTACAAGTCAATTCCAATTCATTTTCCATCCAGTAGACATTGAGCTTTCTTAAATACAAATTATATAATGTCTCTTAGTCCTAAAACAGTTTGAGGGGCTTTAATTAATTTTGCTTCCTGTCAACTTTAGCCTTTTTTTCTATGGCTCCCTGCGCTCCTGTTCCCCGCTCCCCAAACAAGGCTCCAGCTGTCCTGGTCATTCTTATTTGCCCAGAGTAGACAGGCATCCTCCTCTCTGTCTGTTCTATTGTTTCCAATGTCACAGCTTCACGGAAGGACCCCTTTTCAGAGAGTGACCACCTAGCCTAAAGTAGCTACCTCAAGGCTTGATCTCATCTCTCTTTTTAAGTCTCTGTGCGGAACATACATTATCTCATAATTGTAGTCAGTTGTTATCTGCTTTCCAAGCCAGAATTAAGTTTCAAACTCTATCCCTGTATGCGGTCAGATTATACCTATAGCTCATTGTACAGTGGCTGGTGTCAAAATTAAGTGAGAAACGTTTAAGAATACAATAGCCTATGCTTGAGTCTATCTCCTAATTCTCCTGACTTGGAATTCATTTTCCTTAGAAAATAAACCAGATTTCAAGAAAATGGTGCCTTGCCTTGCAGTCTCAGGCCTATAGGTAGATTAAGCTCCCAGTTACCAACTATATTCTTTACAATTTCCTTAGCTGAGTTATTCTAGGCTTTGTTTATCATTGAACTAGCAGCCTATCTGAACTTGAAATATTTTGTACAGTTTCCAGTTTTGTTTAATTTTAGTGTAGTACCTTTGAGATCTTGTTTTATAAACTTACAACTACCAAAATATTTTCAGATGAGCTACGAAGATTGTTTCCATGGTCATTATTTATCTTGTTCAAGCATTGGAAGTCACATAAATGAAAAATCAGCTTGACCACCTGATCAGAAATGCAACAGTATTCATCTCATTTTCAGTCATTAGCTTGCATGTTTAAAGGTCTTTATACTGTGCATAGTTTACTAAATAAGTACTATGATTACCCAAATTTTGAAGAGACTAGGAAACACACTGTTTGACATTTATTTAATCCAGGCCAGTAATTCTAGCTGCTGAGAGCGACAAAGGGGAAATTATGACTTAAGTAGTGGTTAGAAGTATCTGAATGAATACATGGAATGGATGAAAACAGAACACTGAAATATGGGGCATTCTCACCTTAAAGCTGGACAATCTTTATTTTGAGCTACCGCATGGACAGCACCACGAGCACAGCACCCTGCAAGGGTTTCTTTTCTTATATTTTACAGCTAGTCCAAATTTCTCTGTAGTGGTGTGAACATATTCCTCTGTGCTGCTCATTATCACTTCAATATTGTTGAGGCTTTCTCCTTGCTCCTCGACTAAAAGAGAGATCTGAAGGAAAAGGTCTCTTAGATCCTTTACTTGACTCTCCAGATTAACAAGTTCCTTGTGTCTCTGTTCAATCTCTGAGAGCTGTGCTTTAGTGATAGTGCTTTCTGTAAGTAAGCTTTCGTTGAAAACTTCCCATTTTCCTTGATAAAGCATATCACTTACTTCTTCTTCTGAAACTTCTTTTCCAGCAACCTCAAGCTGACGAAAAATAAATGTCTTGCATTTCTCTTGTTTTGCTGCTACTGCATCATTGTATATTAACATAGTTTGCTGGAAATGGCGGAACATGGCAGCATGCTGACATTTAAGTATTCTTGTGATCACTGATGATGGACCGTTTTCCGCCTCTGACTTTATGGCTTCTCTTATTAGATCGTCCAAATCTCTCTTGATGTGCTCTGCTTGGATTTTTATCCCCTTCGTAATGCTAGATTCTCTCTTAAGTAGACTAAATCTTCTCATTGAAGCGACCAGACTTTTTTGTTGCTGCCCAAATTTTTGGACATCATCTGTTAGATGGTTAAGGCTCTCCTGCAATTTTTGGATCTCCTGTAGCTGCCTCTCGGCTACAGGTTCTCTTTCATAAATAACAGCATGCTGCGGGAACTCCCCGGGTTCCTCGGCCTCTGTCCTGGACACACGCCCATCTTTAGAGAGTTCCATTGCTTTCGTTCGCTGCCTTAGTTCTTGAAGTCGGTCTCTCATCTTCTGTCCTCCTTGGAAGTGATTGTGTTGAACAAAGGGAAATCGGTATGTCCCCCCCAGTGTCTTCACATGGCAATGTCTGTCTCCAAGTTTTCTCCTGGTTTTTGGAAAAAAAGATTTAAAAATTAGGCAATTCAATAAAAAAATTATTTGAGAAATAATATTGATAGCACTTTCTGTGTGGTGTGTAAAATGTATATATAATAAAGTGGATCAAAGTAAGTCTTTCATAATAATTACTTATTTCAACACATTATGATTTTATAAACTTAATGTCATTTATAATGTTCTGCAGATAAAAAGAGGGTGCTCTGATGGTACAAATACCCCGTTGAACCACACATAATAGCAAAACCAATCAGAGGAAAGGATCTCTAATGTTATTCTACAGGACTTAATATTTTATGTGTTTTTGCAAGTATTTTATCAGTGATGTGGATGTCATCATAAAGGACATAGTTAGCCAGTATGTAGATGGCACAACGTTTGGAATGGTCATCAGTATGTTAAAGTTTTGAGTTCAGATTCAAAAGATTAAAATAGCATGGAAGAGTATACTAAATGTAATAAGAATATGTGTAACAGAAGTAGATGTGAGCAATCTTCTTCTTTAAATATTATAGCTAAGAAAACAATATGGCAGTGCTACTCTGTCATAAGGGTCATTTTGAGTTGGAATCAGCTTAATAGCACTCAGTAATGACAACAGATATAAAATACTTTGCTTAGATATTTATAATATACTTTTGCATCTATAAATTGGGGGAGAGATGTCTCAAAGTCTATAGATTCCCATGAAAAACTCTAGAGGTTTCGGTGAACTGGAAGAGTTTTGTCTGAGCAATTTACTAATAAGAATATTGGTATTAAGACTAAAATAAGAGCAATATTTGCTCTGCTGACTTTATGCCAGCCAGAAGAAATAGTGGAGTGTTAAGTTCTGAGAATGATATTTTATAATGGAAACTGAGAGATTTCCAAACTAGCATGTGGGGGATGAGAATCAAAGGTCATACCATATGGAAAATCACAGAAAGAAATGGATACATTCTGTAAAAATAAAGGCACAAGCATATATACAATACAAAAATGTGGAGAACTGTGCTGCAAGAGAGATTAGACTTACTGGATAGAACTCCAAAGTCAGTGGGTGGAAATATGACAGAGACATTGGTGAGTGGCGACGGCAGTCTTAAAGGTTGGTGAGTGGCCTTCTACTATGCAACTCTTGGTCTCTCCCTGCCTAGAGGAGAGAAGAAGGATGAGAGTTGGAGGATGATGGGCTAAGGACCAATGACATCAGTATCTACAACCTAGAGACTAGAATTACCTTGTGCCCACCTACCACTACCAAGTGCCCTGAAAAGGATCGCGTTAGAAGGTTCTGGATAGAATGGAAAACATTGTGAGGAAAGAAAAACCCCCCTCAAAATCATAAGAGAGACTGGACTTACTGGTCAGATTGAAACAAGTAGTCCCCTCCAGACTATAACCCTTAATCACCAGTCAGGGCTGGAAGTGCACTCACCCCGCCCCCCCGAATGTAAGAATAGTCAGCCGTTTCAGATGAAAAGAACAGCGTTTCCCCAAAGATGAAACAGAGAAAAGTAGGGAGGAGAAGGACTGGAAGCAGAGGGCACTGAGAGGACGTGTGATAATGTGGGGCTACGTCGACGGGCTCAAATGGATGTGATGCAACACAATCCACACGCACAACTGATGGGTTTCTCTATCAACCTTCGCCTAAATCAACAAGAAGTTCAAAAAAGAAATTGCATACAGAGAGGTTTAGCTTTGTAGAAAAAATATCTCCGCAGACATGTATAGCTGTCCCAGGATGGACTAAACTACCTCCTAAAGTAATAAAGCTTGCCATGATGATCCACTCAGAAGGGTTTTAGAAATGATGCTTACATTGAATAGGAAGTTAAACCAATGTCCTGACAATATGCTCTTGCTGTTGTGGAAAGTCTAATATTTTGTCAAATAATTATTGAGACCTATTATTTGCATAGTTAAATGCTGTTGTGTATATCCATAATGTTTACCCTTAAGATATTTACAGCCTAAGGGGAAGTGGCTGATATATAGGAGTTAAATGAGATAATGTATATTTTAATAGGTCAGCTGTTCAAGGCCTCTCTAAGGAGGTATCTGAGCTTGGAGATGTCAATCTTAGAAGCCAACCAACCAGATGAAGTGCCAAGGGAATGTCTTCATGGTGCAGGAGATGGGGTATAAAGGCAATGAGTGGGACTGAGTTGTTCAAGAACAAAATGAATGCTAAGATGAGTAGAAATTAATGTCAAGTGTTACATAAGAGGAGCAAAGCCAGAATGTTATGCAGGGACAAGATTGCAAAGAACCTTATGAGCTACAGTAGGGGGTTTAGAGTTTATTCTAAACTCAATAGAAGATGATTAGAGGGGATAAGTATGGCATGGGCATAATATTTATATTTTTAAAAGATCGTTCTTGTTGATTGCTGTATACAGAAACCTTTTCTGGGGTATGATAGTAGGTTACAAGCCATACTTAGATCATAATTGAGGTGGAATAAGCAAGAGCCATTTAGGGTATATTTTGGAGTTTGAAGCAATAGGACTCTGAGATAATTTCAACCCATAAGTAATTGTTGTTAATGCTATTGTGTCATTTCCTCCTCACCGCAGCGCCGTTTACTTCCCGCAAATACTCATATCCTGAAATATTTCCAAGTGTTTCTCCTGATTTCCCTCTTACTTCTCTGACTCTTTCATCACTTCGTTTGCTGGTTTCTCCTCATCTCCCCCAACTGTAAATATTGGAAAGCTCCTAGACTCAGTCTTATTTTTATCCATTATCATTTTCCCAGTAAAGTCACTTAGTCTCATGACAGTAAACACTCTCTTCTTGCTGCTTATTCAATTTTATGGTTTGCGTGCAGCCTAGAATGCGCGTACAACCAGACAATCTGTTGGACCGCTCTTTTTGAATGTCTGTGTCTAAACCTGACTTCCTCCCCACCCCAAACTGTCCCATCTCAGTAAACAGCAGCTCTGTTCTTTGAGTTGCTCAGCTCAGGCCAAATACTTTGGACTCATTCATCTGTAAACTAATAGCAGATCTTGCCAACACCTGTTTAAAGTATATTTAGATCCATCCACCTCTCACCACCTCCCCGATCCAAGTCACCGTTATTTCTCACCTGAATTATTGCAGGAGCTTCCTAAGTGGTCTCCTTGTTTCCTTCTTTGGAGCTCATTTCCCTTAAATCTTAACAGAGAAACCAGAATTAAAATATTAGTCAGGTCATGTCATTCCTATAGCTAAAACCCTCCATTATTGTTTAGCTCAGAGGAAAAACCAGTTCTTTACTATGTAAGCAACGTACTACATGACCATATTTTACTTCTCTGCTTTCCTTACCTCCCATTCACTGATTCTGTTCTATTTTTCATACAAACCAAACATGATCCTGCCTACGGGTATTGGCACTTGTGATTCTTGTGCCTGGGATGCTCTTGCCCATATAGTAGCCTCTTATCCCCCTAATTTGTTTAAGTCTTGCTCAAATATCACCTCAGAGTGACTTTTGCTAGTTACCTTATCTAAAACTGCAACACTCTCTCTGACCCTTCCCTGCTTTATTTTTCTTGTTAGCATACTTTTACTCTTTAACATACTGTTTTACTTAATTATCTTATTGTCTGACTCCCCTGTCTCCTCCTAGAAGCCCCGTGAGAGCAATGATTTTTATTCATTTTAGTATTCTTAGCATATTTTAATCTTTACGTGAGTTCTTATATTGAGTTCTTGCTATCTCATATTTACCTGAGCTCTTACTGTATCACAGAGACAGTTTTAAGTGTATTGTCTCATGTAGTAATAATGCTGAGTTTAAGTAACTTAACCAAATGGTTAGGCTTAACAAGAACTAGCATTTAATTTTGACAGCCTGTTTTACAGGACTCACCCTTTTCAATGGCTTCAGTTGTTGTGGAGAGATGGGTGAGTTCTCGGCAGAGGCAGTTAGATGGGCGATTTGGTTGAGAAAGCCATATGACAAGGGAAAAGACCTTAAGAATTGCCTTTGACAGAAGTAGCCCTTTAATAAAGATAGTAAGAATTTACTCAGAAATGTTTTCTGAGTAACTCTCACTGAACAATACAGTTTTATTGACACATCCTTTAAATATCATACAATTTAATCGTTCCGTTATATTAAGATGAGTTGTACAATCATCACCAGAATCAATTTCAGAACATTTTTTTCTTGTAATCATTGTTGTTAGCTCCCCATTTCCGCCCATCCTCCCTATCCATGCCTGTAGGTAATTATTATTCCAATTACTATCTCTATAGATTTACCTATCCTGGATTTCATATGCAGAAAATCATACAAAACAGAAACAGGAAGCAAATAGACAGAACAACAACAACGATAAAATGAAACAAAACTCTCACTAGAAAAGAAAGCAGAATATGTTAAAAACTGAAACAACTGTAAAATGGGTGATAAGTTATTCCATTTTAACCTACACAAAGCTGCCGTAATGGACTTAACAATGCTCTCTGTCTGATAGCAAGGCTATTCACAGGACTATGGTGGGAGAGGATTTACCGGAGGCTTGATCTATGTGGGGACCTTGTAAATGAATTTTGGGTTTCCACTGTCATCCAAAGCCTTCTGCAAACTTACTGTTCAGAATTTAAGCTCTGATACAGTTCCCTCCATATTTGGATTTTATAATTTATGATCCTTGCATCACACAGGTTGAGAGGATGGACTGAGGTGATGCCTCACTCAGATAGCTGCTGTTTGAAATAACCCCGGACCCCGTTCTTTCTGAATGCTGGGCATCATTTGGTTTCTTTGCCATACTTTGCTGTAGCACCCATATCTCAATGAAATTTTAAGAACTGGTTAAGAACAATAGTTTGTTTCCTATAATACACATTTCATTTTCTGTGGAGTATTTTAAATATTTAATTAAGATAGCTTACAGCATTTTGCCTTC